AAGCAATCTACAAGTTCAAGCAGTTCACAATTAATGAATTCACTGCTAAATTCTCTAGTAATGAATGCACTAGGAAACTGGAATGTTGCTTATTTTAAAACTCTGAATCTTATCCAAATCAACTAACATTCTATTAGAATTTGCAAATCTTAAAATTTCTCCATTCATTTTCAGATTTTGCTAAACATTTTACTAGGAATATAAATGTATTTGCTTCATCTGCATAATCCCGCATTATATCGTTGTATGATCTGCAAATGTTCAAATGTTTTCCTGTCAAACACAACTATCTTGTTCTTTGATACATTATTTTTCAGATCTATATTGCTCATTGTGTCATGCAAACTATCTGAAGTTTATTGCAAAGCATTCTCATTCTCTCCCAATAAGCATTGTTTTCACAGAAAAGTAAATGCACATTCACATCCTCCCAGCCAACATGCCACCACAAACATTCCCCATATATTTATCCATAGATTCATTACGTTTCCTTATTCTATTTCCTACTAACACTGAACAACTATGGAAGCAAATTACATCTTATTTTAACAGTTGTCCAGTTATACCATCAATACTTGTCATTCTAGCATTTTTCAATATACTCCCAGCATTTATTACTTCCTTTTCATCAGTGGTTTCTTGGACCCTAATATTTATTGCCTTCATTTCAGTTTCACTCATTGACATATCAATATCACTCCTGTACAAAGTCTAAAATACTCCTTCCAGCATTCTCTCTCTTCAGCTTCATTGCAAATCAATTCATCACTTTTATTTTTAAGTCCATTCACCATGCCGGAAGCATCTGGTTTAGCAATTTTCGCCCACCTCCAAGACGGTTTTTTTTTTTTTTATTTCCATGAAAATTGCTTGGCATTTTCTCTGCCTATTTTAATATTAGCCAATCACTGCTGTCTTTGACTGCATTCTTTGCAACAATCTTTTTTTCTTTATACAATCTCTATTTCTCATCTGTTATAGTGATTATTCCCTTATATGTGGTTTTCTTCATCTGTAGTTTCTTTCAAATTCCACCAATCATTCTTTTTCATATTTCTCACATTTTTCTGTGGCACTCTGATAGAAACAGGGATAGAGATATATAAATACAATTTCTTCTGTCCCAGGCATCTTGCATGTATTGCTTCATTACATCCATTTTCCATTCATGCAATTGGGTGATTAATCTTTTTTTCTACTACTTTTTCCTATACTATTTATATACATTTTTTTCTGCAATCATTTCATTTTCACTCTCATTTCTTTTACTTCTTTCATTGTCTTTCAACTCTATTTTTTTCCAAAATTCCTTTTGGACTTTAAGAAACAATCTGAACCACATTTAAAAATCTCTGATCATCTTATATCCTATGTCTTTCATCGGTCGCCTCAAGTTTTAAATTTATATTTGTTTCTTTGCCATGAATATGTGCAATGCGACTTATGCTTAAATCGCAAAATATATTCCAAACAAGAATAAACAAATGGTTTCTGAGCAGATATTTGACAGAAATCAACACTCTTATTCATTGTGATCTCTACAGATGATCCAATCATTTTTTTTCCTGCCCTCTGGGGTCTCATGCCCAACCATTTATTCATGTTGCCTAGCAAAATGTTTTTCCCCTGAACCAGTTTCATTCAGAAAATTGTGGAATATTGATCAGAACTCTAATCTGGTTCTTCCATTACCATAATTCACTGGAGCAAAACCCGTGACTTTCTTCAGTTTATGGATTTATGCTTCCATACATATCTACAACAACCCATTTATACTTAAATACTAACCCTTGCACATAGTTTAACATTTTCACTCATAATTAAACCTATGCCTTCCCTATTTTACATCTACTCTCAATTCCATTCCTCAAGGCTACTTTTATTCATATATCAATTATGACATCTTTCTACTTTCTCTTGTTTCACAGGTACACATCACATCTATTTTTCTTATATTCATTCCATTTGTGAATTTATTATCTCTACCATTTATTCTTGCGTGACTCTAGGAAGTAATCAAGGAAGATGGCCTTCACTAAGATATGCAGGGAATGTTAACTAAGCAAGAAGGGCTGGAACATTAAATTTAGAAAATTGAGTTGACTTTCAGTAGTGGCTCAAAGAGACTACTTCCATTTCTACAATCAAACTTGTAGACTTATTGTAGTCGGTCTTAATAATAGAGTTTTAGCTTTCATGTGGTTGATTCCCTGATCAGATCTTCTTAGTATTAGAATACAACTTCCATATGCCACATTGCCACCTTTAATGGACTGTGTGGGTGACCTTAGGGAATGAAGGGAAGAGATGCGGCCTAGGAAACAATCAGACAAGAACCCCCAGAGGCTTAATGGTCAGAGAAAAAAACTTAGGAAGCACCGACCATAATGGGTCAAGCAGTTAAAAGTGAATGTGGTAGGTTTATACTTCCCGACTTGCAAGATTCTTTTAAGATAGCCTTACAATAATGTAGAATAAGTTCATTTAATGATGTTTCTTAAAGATCTGAGATCCCTACATGAGTCCATAGATACTGATCTCTGCTATTTATCCATTCTTTGGTCAGTTAAAACTTTTCTGTAATAGTTTTTAGTAAGACAGACAGTAGGTTACCAGATTTAATAGCCTTTCTACCATATGCAGCATTGTCTGCTAAAAGTAAAGAGAATTTTTGCATATTTTGGCCATCCATAATTGAAATTCAGTTTCACTCCAAGCATGCTCATACTATTTGATGTAAGGAGGATCTGTAATCTGTAATCTAAAGACTTGCAAAGTGTTTACCTGCATTGTATTAATATTAAAAAACACTGATACAAAGTATTAGCACTACATATACTAATATGCACTAAAGCTGCATATTAATGGTGATAATATATATACATATATATATATTGAGAAATAACACAGACCATAGAAGATTGACAGGATCTATCTTGATCATTTGAACTTTCAGTACTTCCCATATCTTATCAAGGATATATATTTGGTTCCTTTATGCCTCTATTAATAAATATTTTGTCAAAAATGCGTTAGAAAAAAAAAGTGAATTAATATATCTCATGTTTTTAGTGTCAAAGCAGTACTGACCGCAGATCGATGAATGTATTTGCTCTTCTTTACAGTCCATTTTGGAATGGAAAAAGGGATTTTGAAACAAGCAATAATTATCTTACTGACTTAAAATCACAGAGAATGCAGTAAACATTTTAGGCAATATTCAGTGATGACATAAAAAGAGAGAGAAATTTTGCTGGTGGCATTTCCACCCTATTATTAAATAGCTATGCCAACAAATGAGTTTTATTTTATTTATACTCATTTTTATCTCCCTTCAACATTTTGCACTTATTTTATTTTCTTAACTGCCCTCTTTCAATTAGACATATATAGTGCAGAAAAGAGCAATAAGGATGATAAGGGCTCTGGAAGTTAAACCACATGAGGAACAGTTGTGGGAACTAGGTATGTCTAGTCTAAGAAGGGATGAAATGATAGCAGTCTTCCAACATTTGAGGGGTTGCCAGAGAGAAGCAGGGGTTAACCTATTCTCCAAAGATTATTAAAGAGATCCAATCTAGAATTAAGGAGAAATTTTCTGGCAGTGAAAGCAATTAATTAAGTTTGCCTCCAGAAGCTACGGGTGCTCCAACATTGGAGGTTTTCAAGAAGAGGTTGGACAACCATTTGTCCAAAATGATATAGGTTCTCCTGCTTGAATAAGAGTTATATTAGAAGATCTCCAAGATTCCTTCCAACCCTGTTATTCTGTGTTCTATATATTTATCTGAATACCATATGGAATAAGGTTAGTTTTCTAATAATTGTATTATACCAGATCTGGACTATTTATTTTGAGAGAGCTTGCACAGGATTGAAGTAATGTCCAAATAATTGAGATTCAGATGGTTTAGGTTAAAAAATTATTTGATTGCCTCTGAATCAGATTTACTTTTTGGATTAAATCATCCAATCACTTGTTTCCAAACTAAGCCAATGACTCTGTGGCTGGGTATCTATTTGCAGAAAGGTCCTTTTCTAACTTTAATTTACTTTCCAAATCAGTGTGACTTCCTTAAATTATCTGATTTGGAAATCCAGTATAGTTCAGAAATTCCAATTGAACCAGTGATCCAAACTGATTCAAAGTGAGCTGACATTTGAATTGGTGATATATTAATGTCCACAGGCCACGTTGCTTATCATCTCAGGATACCTTATTTATTTGCATTGAACTTCCAACCTGCTGACCTTCGCTTTTCTTTTTTAAATGCACAATGAATATGCTTCAGAAAGAAGTCTAGAAAGCTTCTTTTATGCCCTAGCTTAATAGTTCCACAATTCTTTCTATTGGCCTTTCCTTTTCATTTGCTCATCTCCTATAATTCTGCCTCTTTCATGTCGCAATTTCTTTCATCAAAATTCCCTTTGGCAAACTTTTATCTCTAATATGCTGTTGTTGCTTCTTCCTGTTTTGCTCTTTCTAAATTTACTGCACACTGCAGTTTTCTTCACCTATCCTTTTTGCATTACAGTCAGGGCTGCAATTAGACAAGTGAGCTACTTACCTTAAGCAGCAGATTCTGACTGAGGATAAAAAGATGCTGAAAAAGAGAATTTTATGTCAGAGTTTACTTGGTACCCTCTAAAATAAACCCATTGCTGGCTTTTGCATTATACTTATTTATAAGTTAAATAAAATTATACACACACACACACACACACACACACACACACACACATACATACATATCTAAAAGTCACAAAGAAGTGAAAGAAAACACTTCTAGAAAGGCATGGGTTATCCTGTAAAAAGTTTGGTCCCTGATACTCATTGATATAATTGTTGTTAGTGGTCGATAGAGATTTTTGGTGGGTACTTATTCATGCATATGATCCATATAACCTGATTCCAGATCTTTAGATCCCCTACTCCCGAATTGCTTCCAAGTCTCGGGCAAAATTGATTGACTATTTTTTCCCCCTTCCTTTCTAAACAGCCTTTGCAGCTGGAGTGTGATCTCTGTGCCATTATTTCAAACTCGGGTCAGATGACAGAACAGAAAGTAGGATCTGAAATTGACCAGGCTTCCTGTATATGGAGAATGAATAATGCTCCCACCAAGGGCTATGAAGAAGATGTTGGGAAAAGGACAACAGTAAGAGTCGTCTCCCATACCAGCGTCCCTCTTTTGCTTAAGAATGCAGACTATTTTTTCAAGGAAACCAATAGTACAATTTACGTCATCTGGGGACCTTTCCGAAATATGAGAAAAGATGGAAGTGGCATTGTATATAATATGCTGAAGAAGACTGTGGACAGTTATCCTGGGGCCAAAATCTATGTGACCACTGAAAAACGGATGAGCTACTGTGATGAGATCTTTAAAAAGGAAACTGGGAAGGATCGGTAAGTCCTGCATTGCAGACCAAAATAATTATTTCACTAATTTAACAAGAAAGTACTGGTTTTTTTAAAAAATCTGTACATGTCACCAATAAATCAATCTCTCAAATTAGTGTTTTAAAAGGATACACTCTTTTGGCTGGTGTTTTTGCCCTTGACTAGAAAAAAGTCCTATCCATTATCTTCTATTCATCATTTTCTTTCTTTTTGGCTAAGATCCTCAAACATACATGTTTATACAAAGGATTTTAATACTGTATGTTTACAACATTCCATTTGTTTAAGGTGCCAATTTCCATGCTTTAAAATTTGTAGGAAGGATAGCTTCATACTCAAGTGTTTAGGTTGGTACTGTCAAATGATATACAGGTACTGTAATTGGCCATATACAGAAAGAAACACAAGAGAAAAATACATTATTAGTGTACTGCTTGTTAGAGGTTTTATGAAGTTTCAAGCCTTTTGGTGTTTTATAAGCATGGGATGATAATGTATCCCAAGGTAGATACTATAGACCAGGAGTGTCAAACTGCCGGCCCAGGGGCTGGATGTGTCACAAGGAAACCGCGCCCACCCCATTTCCAGCAATGGGGGAAAAGGTCCGATATGTCGCGTGACATCGCGGGTTTGACATGTCTGCTATAAACTATTCTTATGTTCTATTTAGCTCCAGATGTTTGTATTAAAGCAGCCTTATAAAATTTGAAGAGCAGAAAATAGATTGAACAATTAGTTGGGCCATTTAAGGATGCACTGTTGTGGTCAGTTACAAAGAGAGAACAGAAAGTGCTCTATAACATCTTAGGCCAATTTTGTGGAACAAACTACACAAGATTCAAAAAATGAAGTAATACAACCCAGGTGGTATTTAAACAAAAAATGATTAAATTTAAATGGCTTAGCCAGAGATTGTTTTTTTTTTTTCTGGTCACGAAGAGAAAGGTGAGGGGGAAAAAAGTGATTTTGAAGCTTTTTCTACAACTTTTTGAATAAATGTTATATGTCTTTGGATGCTCCCAAAGGAATTAAATTTGAAAGGACAAAATGTGCTTAATAAAGCTTTTTTTGTAAAGTATCATTAGTTTACACAGCGCTATACAGAGCGTAAAAGATCACTACACCCTAAGTTGATTGTGTGAAAGTTAATAGTGGGAAATAGCAGGTGAAGAGAAAGGAAATGTAGCTCAGAAAAGACAGGATTTTGAAATAGAACTGACAATAAATTCATACATTCATTGACTGAAAAAAATTTAGGTTTTTTTTTTACAGTATGGATTTGTATGTTGCCTGAATGTTAAGGCAAGAAAAATGTTAAAATGTAGCCCTAATAACAAAAGGAGAGAGTTGTAACTGATATTTTCTTTTTTTTTATTGAAAAATTTTGTAAAAGTTACAATATACATCCCAAAACCCACCCACCCTAAACCCCACCTCTCCATCCCCCACTTCCCAGAGCTGAGTACAGGGTTACAAATATAATAATCATACTCTAACTAACATTAACCAACTATATAAATAACCAAGTCCATAATGCGCTTTAATTCCAATAAACATAATATAAACAAGTTAATATACTAATTATTAAACAATACTATATCCAAATTGTTAAACAATACTAATACTAAAAATAATAATAAAACTAATAGAAATTCTACTATAATAAACTCATAATAATAATAATACTCTAAAATTTACTCATAAACTAAATGGAACTATTTAGTCCCATATTTATTCTGAATATAATCTATCCATCTTCTCCAGACTGAAATGTATCTTTCTTGTGAATGATCCTTCAGATAAGCAGAAATTTTAGCCATTTCTGCTGTAACTGATATTTTCTTATATCATACAAACACTCTAATCCAGTGGTTCTAAACCTGTGGTCTGTGGACCCCTTGGGAGCCACAATGTCATCACCGGGGGTCAAAAACTTGAAGAAATGTTATGATTTAATCTTGAGTTTTGTAGTCCATGACCACTAAAGGGGGTCCACAGTGAAGAAAAGATTGAATGTAGAGATGCATAGAAAAAGTCTTCTATTTTTTATATGTAGCTTTCTATAGAACACAGCAAACTCTGTAAACACTGACTTATACCTGCAGCAAAGATATAGGATTAGTCTTCCATTGTATTATTTCTCAGCACCTCTGAAGCAGACTGATAATAGCACTTAGATTTATATACCATTTCACAGTGCTTTACAGCCCTCTCTAAGTGGGTTTATAGAGTCAGCCTATTGTCCCCAACAATCTGGCTCCTCATTTTACCGACCTCGGAAGGATGGAAGTCAACCTTGAGTTGGTGAGAATCGAACTACTGGCAGTCGACAGAATTAGCCCGCCAATGCTGCATTCCAACCACTGTGCCACCATGCCTCATTTCTATATAAAAGAGTTGCTATATATATAAAACAATTTGCCAAAAACACCTAGTGGAGTTTAGAGTAGAGTAGGACTCCAATGTATGAGTTTTAGATCAAAGTACAAGGCGGTCATGTCTTGTGGGCCATGTTGACTCTTCTGCCATGTTCCATATGTTGCTGTCTCAGTCTTGGCCCCACGGAGACAGCAAAGTCAGGCATAGAAATTTATTCTGTTTGTGAGCCATTTGCTGAACTGTCAAATAGTAACCGAGCTCCATGTGTGAAGAAAATGTACACACATCTTGCCAAACCATTAAACATTTGTTCACTCTTGATTTTTCTCCCTTAGTTCTTGTTTTGTTAGTAAAGCCAGATATTTTTTGCTTCCACAGATAAATAACTTTTCTTCCATTAGGGTGGTATTAAACAATGCTCTGGCTTTGCAGCAAAATTAGGAGGAAGCCAAAAGCTGCTCATAGGACACACAAATGCACAGCTTGTGTTGGAAATGGAAATTTTGGGAGGCTTATTCTTAAAATATTAACTGTGGAAATGTTGTATATGGCTAATGTGTGATCATAGTCTCGCAAAGTAACAAAACTCTAGCTTGTTGAGCCATTATCAGACATTTGATGGTTCTGCAGAGTGATATGATCCTGAAAAATGAAATACTTCTGTCATTACAGTATCTATATTTTTTTGTAAAGTATCACTAGCTTACACAGCACTGTACAGAGCGTAAAAGATCGCTACACCCTAAGTTGATTGTGTGAAAGTTAATAGTGGGAAATAGCAGGAGAAGAGAAAGGAAATGTAGCTCAGGAAAGACAGGATTTTGAAATAGAACTGATAATAAATTCATACATTCATTGATTGAAAAAAAATTCAATCTATATTATATATTTCTTGGAGATAGTTAAGAGGCATGTACTATAGTCTGTACATAGTATAGTCTGTACATTCTGTAATGCAAAATGTAGCAAAATTAAAAATTTACTAATTCTATTTATATATGCTGACAGAAGAGCCCAAACTAGCATTTTTAAGAATCCAATAATAAGAATTTTTGGGGATTGATGGCAAAATATCATCAAAGTTCCTACACTGCCACTCACTTCTCACTACATTCTACGCCACTATGTATTTCTCTATTATTTTTCATTCATTGATGTTGAGATACAATAAATGGGAAGCCTAACAATAATTATTAATTTATTCAGATTATATTTTAACTGGTCATTTTGGTGGGATAAGGTATTCTTTCAGCAATGGATCATAGTTTGGAAAGATTCCCTCCATGTATGCAACTCAAGATTATTTTCTCCATTGCTCTCCCCCCCCCCCCTCTCTCTCTCTCTCTCACACACACACACACACAAAGCTCTTTTACCATTAATTAACTCTCCAGGTTCCCAAATAGCTCTTAACCAAGTAAAAAATAGATTTCATAAACAGGCTGCTAAAATTGTGATTGCTCTCGTTTCCAATATGAACGTGAAGGCAAGTTTATTCTTTTCAGATACTTTTAATTAGTAAGGGTCCTTTAAGTCACAGTATATTCTCCTTTTCTGAATTATTGTTGTGCATAAAAATTATACTGTGGCAGGTAAACTTTCATACTAATGTGTTTTTAGTTTGTACAGTCTTGAAGGTGCTCAAAAACTGACAGCTTCTTCCAGTATTTTGTTAGCATTATTCAGGGCATGATTAAATACACAGGTTGAGATGAAAGGAGAATTTAAGCTATATGTGAAAGGATGCCAGCTAGTAGCAAAATGTGAAAAAAGATTTCTCCCCTTTTTGGAGTGTTTACCTGAATTTTGATGTGCAGTTTTGTTTCCCTGATGTTTAAAAATGTAATAGAAATTCTTACAGCATCATTTAATTAGTAATAGCTAGGGGAAAAAATCTTTGTAGATTGCATTGAAAGAAAAAGAGTTCATTTCAGCTTAGTAAAATGCATGGAGAGAAACTCTAGAGAGCATTTAATTAGCTGGCACCAAAGTTGCTCCATCTTCTGGGATCTCTAAAATTAATGAAGGTTAGAATCAAAGAGATCAATGCACCACGTACTGTAGCCTTATCAGATAATAGTGTAGAAAGGGAGAGTGGTTTAAATGGAAATTCAGCTTGCAACTATTTACAAACAAGCCATTTTCATAGAAATGATGCTAAAAATATCACTAAACAATGCTGCTATCAGTTAGCTTCAACCACAGCCAACCTGAAATTTGTCTTCCTATAATTGTTTATCCTACAGTTTACCGCTTGACTATATAGCCCCTAAAACAAATAGTGTATCCTCTCATGGTTAACACCTTGACTAGTGGGTCTCTATTCTATTCAGCTATTTACATGTTACATATTACAAAATGTGACTGTCACCTGATCTCAGATAGCATTCACACCAATAACTTGACACAACTTCCTAATTTGATGCACTGTGGATGTGTTAACACTTCTTCAACTACCCAATTCCCAACCATATGCTTTAATATAGTTGCAGATATGCTCTATAATGCAGGTTCTGAGTGCAGATCTCTGTATCACAGCAAATACATGTTGCTTTACATAGACTCAGGAATAGTCCTTTTTTCATCTGAAATTTATAACGTAACTTTGAAATGCAGGATTCTTGGAA